AACGTGTTTTGTGTTCTTTTTTTATATTTCTTTTGTATCTTGCTGATGAAACCTTAAAGTTTCGAGCTAAGCTATGAATGAAAAATCGTCCCGTTCATCGTTATTAGAATGCATTGATAAACAAAATCGTCCAAATGCTTGGTTTATAGCTATTGAATACATTCTAAAGGGAAGCAGTAAGTTCTTCATTTATTTTATTGTGAGTGTGGGCGTGGCTGTGGGAGTGAGCGTAGACGCAAGTAAATGAACACCCATACCCACACCCTCACAAAACGAGGAATGAATTCTAGACTACTTATTGAACCTTGATAGTCTTGCATAGAGAAAAAGAAAACAACATACGAAAGAGAAATAAATTTCTTATTTACTTTTTCATAAAGTGTTCGTTTAAGTCTCGTTTCTTCTTCTTCACCGAGCCATTGTTGGCAATCAAAGGCAATATGTTTCTAAATTATTTTTAAGTTCAATTTTAGATAGAAGTCAATCAACTAACATTCCGCAATTATTATATCGCATTTTGAAATTAGAAATACTTCCTCAATCGTTGTATTCAATTTTAAATCTGTCCATATAAAGGTATGGATGCGGATGGATAGAGATGTCGGCCTTGTTGAAATGTATGGATGTAAACTATACTTACCTGCACTCATACCCTTAGTCCGTGTGATCTTAAGAGATACACCATTAAATAGAGTAATAATGTTAGTTTATAAATGCATCAACAAATTGATCTATCTGTTAAGCCTTTCTTTTCTTTGAATCATGTAACTAGAGAGTTCAAAATAAAATTAGACTTATTACAAGAAAGAAGCGATTCTGCGCGAAGGAATAACATAAAATAAATAAATCATGAAAACAAAAATCGAACTGCTTCAATTGAAACTTTACTATTAGTCGAGCAATTTGCTATTTTTTTCACTCTGAATTCGTATCCTCTATGGATTGAATCGTCTTGTATTGTTTGCGAGTGTTCAAAGAAAAATGAAGATAAAATTTTATTTTTCAATTGGTTCATGCCATTCAGACACTAATACGACTCACATATCTATTGACAAATTAGAAATATCGGGGTGTTGTAGCTTTTAAAAGGCAGTGAATCTGTATGAACTGATCTTTCTATCGCTCATTCCACAATAATTAGTAGAGTTCAACTTCTGAAAACTTTCTTGATATAAGCCTATTTAGTTAAAACATATATATATCTGTTTAGCATAAATACTTTTATTGTTCAATATCAATCATCATTCGAATTGACCATGCATTCTGCAACAACTGCACCTGCTCTCCAATCGATAAGTCATGATTTATAACGGCATATTTACTTTCGATTGAACAAACTTGATTAACTGAGCGAAAATTACAATCTCCATTTTGGTATGAAAATCGCCCGTTCGTATTTGGTGACCAGACTAAAATGGAATACCCAGTGTTTAATTCAGCAATGATCGGAATTGTTGTCCATTCCATAGTCGCATTATTCGAAATAAGCGATTCCTTCTTTATAACAGATCCTGAACTATTTACTACATAAACAACCACTTGCCCATGTATTGCTGCTTCTAATTGTACGGATTGGATTTTCAACGGATTCTGCATCTGAAATTCATAACCACGACCGTACTGTGCCTCATATCCATAAGTTGAATTCGGACCTGAAGGTCGTGATAGGTTTAAAGACACAATTCTTTTTTCGTTGTGCACCATCTGGGTTTAATAAAATATTGTCAGTCTTGATAGTACCGTACTCATCAATCATTTGTTTCAAATTCGTATCGATATTGTAACTAGCTTCCGAAAAAGTATATCCCTGCTCAATTCGTCGATATTGTTGATCGATTTGTTGATCATAATCTAGTAAGGTTTTTCTCATTTTCATGATGTGGATATTATCATTGTTATCGAACACTTGTTGCATAAGAGCCTTGCTTGCCTTTATAGCCTTCAGTTGTTCATTGATATCGGTTTCATATTTTTCTAATATAGATTTGTTCTTTACTTGATACTCGTCCAATTGCTGCATTAATATCATTTTTCTGCTTTCTAAAGAGGTGTACAATTTTTTAAATGTTTGGTCGATTTCTAATTTAGTTGCTGCATAATGTCGATGTTGTTCTTCTATAATACTATGGGTTTTTGACACGGCCTTCTCAAGAATTTCTCTGATAGGTAGTAGTGATAACTTGATTTTTAATTTTGTTTCTTGGGAAATATCTTGTAAACTAGTGTATGTATGATCTTTATGTTTGAATAAAAGACAATCACGACACACTAGAATTTTACATGTCACACACCAAAGTTTTATTGTTTCATCTGGATGATCTGAACATATATTGGACACAGACTTTTGATTAGCAGCGACCACTACATGACTTTGATGGACTTTCTGTGAATGAACGTTTTTCGAACAGGTGGTACACAGGTAGTTATCACATTTTTCACACCAATATGTTCATGAATTGGTAGCACAATTCCCACATTTTAAGTTGGCATAATCTTGAGTCATACTGGATAAAAACTCAGCCATGTCTTTTTCTGTACGATTGATCGGTAGATTGCCGATACACTCCGCGTTAATAATTGTATTATCATTTAGTGGACAAGTGAATTGATTGTTTTTTGTTAATTGATTTATACAATCATAGCATAAGTGTGTGAGCAAGGCATAATCGAGGATCTTTGTAATAATCTAGGCAAATGACACATGTTGCAATATCTTTGATGACGGTTGCTGCATTATTAGCCATGTAGTGAATCTAAGATATATATTTCATGTATTAATCTAAAAGAAATAAGAGTATATCAAACCTAACAAGATCATATATATTTCATTGTATTTCTCAACTGAGACAGAAACCATCCAAAGAGAGTAAGTTTACCTTTGCAGTTTCAATTAATTCTTAGCAGAAATTTTAGACAAATCTTGTAGGATTCGAAAGCAAATATTTTTCGAAGATAAGTAATGCGTATATAAGTTTCAACTCGTAGTTTAGCGACCTCTTCTCGTTCTCATAGCTAGCCTTTTTCCAAATTTGCACCACTGGAATAAGATTTATCAATGCTCTAAACAAAGCAATTTCTGTTTTCTTTGTTGAAATATTTTATATGGTCGATATTAAGGATCATGTTTTGAGATACATTGATTGGATGTAGCCATCATAACATGAACATAAAAAGCGTAATTTGATCAAACTATAACTTGAAATGGAGTTGTGAAGTATGTAAGATGCTGATTGTGAAGAACTTTCTTTACTGGCAATATCCACAGTCATACTAACACTCATAGCATTCTTCAAAAGCAGAGTTTCATATTAGAGTTAAAAAATATTTATGGGGTGTCATGCAATTATATGTACAGGACTAAAACAAGGATGTTAAAAACCCATGGCACATCTTTGCCGTAAACACTCACCTCTTACAATTACCAGTTGTTGTCGGAAGAACAGAGAAAGCAACTGACAATTTATTTTCGAATGAGAAAGAACCAACCACGTGTACTCGTGTTTTTCTTTGCTTCGTTGCGAAATTATGATTTTTTTTTCTATGCGTTGATAAGTGTTGTTTGACAGTATGAATACCAACTTTTGCAGGGTGTGGGTGTGAGTTTGGGTGTGGGTGGGTGAGGGTGAGTGTGGGTGTGGGTGGGGTGTGGGTAGGTGTGGGTGTGGGTGCAAGGGGGAAAGTGCTGGCACCCAGCACCCTGGCACCTCAGCACCTGCTCAGCACCTTGGCACCTTTTCAGCACCTGCTCAGCACCTTGACACCTTTTCAGCACCTCAGC